CGTGTAATCATTCTTATTTCCTTCAGGGTAGCTTTCTATTGTGTAACTAGACCTGTTCTGTTCTCTCTGTTCTGTTGGTGAGCCTTTGGATAGTTTTCAGTTTGGGGCTGTTATATAAAGCTACTTTGAACATTGTTGTATAATTCTTTTGATGGACATATGTTTTTAGTTCATTTTACTCTTATTTCTGAGAGTAGGGTTGCTGGGTCATAAGGTAAATGCTGCCAAAGATGTAAATATATTTTAGGCTTTCTTCTAAGAGTTTGATTGCTTTACCCTTGGTACTTTGGTCTATGATAGGGTGGGACTTTTTTTTTAATATTTATTTATGCATGCAAGAACTGGGGTACAGGCCAGAAGTGTGAGGGAGGAGAGGATTCACCAGAGACAGAGCGGGGAGCAGAACAGGCAGATCAACGAAACACACTGTTGAGAGGAGCAGTGAGTGGGACAGGAGAGGTTTGCTGTGCCATGTGGGTCAGCTCCCTGGTCAGGGATCTAACTCATGCTGCAGTGGCTGCGAGTATTCATAGTGCTGAGACTTGACCCCTTGTACCACCAGGAAGTCCACTTATTTTACTTTTATGAGGATGGGGATCAAGGTTCATTAACCCCCCTCCCCCCAACAAGAATGTCCATTGTTATTTACTAGAAAGACCAATTTTTACTTTTTGAATAGCAATGGTACCTTTGTTACATTAAATCCACTATCCCTATATATTTATCAATAATTTAAAGAAAATATCTTAAAGATCATAAATAAGCTGAATACATAATTCTAAGGTATTTCTCACACTTTAAATTACATTATCCTTCATAAACAACTTTAAATGACTATTAAAAACTATTATATGTAATATATATATTCCACAGTTTAACCTTTTTTGGGTCATTTACATTATTTTCTTTTACCTGTTTCACTTTCCCATGTCTTTTATATTGTAGACATTCCTCAACTTCTGGTCATTGTTGTCCATTCATTTATATTCTAGGCAATTAAAAAGCCAATTTGAATTTCTGGGTGCATGGCCTTTCTAATGGGTGACTGCATAAATCATCCCATTGGAATCTCATCAAGTATTAGTATCAATTATTTTTCCCATTGGAATTTTTTAGTTTTTCCATAGAAAATTCCCTGTTGTCCTCCCTATAGGGTTAGTGACAGGCTACCAGGCATCAACTTTGAAGAAGATTGTTCTAGCCCACCCGCTCCATGCTGATGATGCCCTTTACAGTGATCTTCTCTTCTGCAGGCCATTTTCCCAAACTCCCATTGAGTGGTTAGCTGTCTGCTGATCTTGCGTGCACAGCCCTGGGCTGGCAATGTTCAGTGCAGTCTCGTAATGGGCCATGGTGCCTGCTCTTTTTGGAGCTGATTGGTCTTCAGTCTGCAACTTCCACTGTTTACATTTGACTCCCACTATGGCAGAACTTACATTTGACTTGACCAAATAAGTGAAAACATTCACATCACAAAATTCAGTATCAGTTTTGTATTTGGTAAGTAGTCTGTAGGACATTGCTCCCTGGCAGGTGATTTTTAAACTGTCGTTTCCTTCTTTACAGACTTGGGAACAATTGATTCCCACTAGGTGAATCTGCTTCTCAGATCTGGCTGTACGATGACTCTGTCTTGGAAGTGTAGGGAGGAGGAGCGCATGCACACTTGCACACAGATTTGGGGGGGGGCGCTGCTATAGTATCATTCTAAGTGACCCTCTGAGTAGCACATAAGAGCTTCACACCCCGCTCCCTCCTTATCAAGTGGTTCCTCAGGCAGAGGGAGAACAGTATACACTCAAAATCAAAATGAGGGGAAAACATGATTGAGGAAAGAGGGGAGAAGAGGAAGAATATATGACATTTGGGGTGTTTTGAGGGCCCCAGAGAGACCTGTATAAGATGATGAGGTATAGAGGCTAATAAATTGATCAAGAAAAATCATAAAGAACTCAGATCTGAAGAGCAATGTTTTAGAAGAATGTTGTCAAAGAAATATAGTTCAGAATTGGCAAAAATGAGGATATTACTACAGGGGTCTTGTTGGACTAATCAAATTAAATGTGTTTGTTGGAATTAGTTCAGTCTGGAGGGTCCTCCAGGCCCTCAGCCAACATACAGTGCATTTTTTGAAAACAGTTCTGGTGGCTTCCTTCTACTTCTGTGATTTAAAAAATAAATAATGCCAATGGATAGGGGTGTAGGGAGCTTATTAAGGAGATTGATTCTCGGGCTAATTAGGTTCAGTAGCTTTCCACAGTCTTGGTAGGAGACAAGAAAGCAGGGAGGTGTCAGCTCTTAATATTCATGTGATGAGTGTGCAGTGGTCCCCAGAACCCTCACATTAGGGTGGTGAATAAAGGACAAGGCCATTCCCAGCATTGACACCATGTTGGCACAGGCCAGAGAGCAGAGAAGGAAAAGGACTCTTTCTTCCATCCTGTTAGGATCCTGGAAAAAATAATCTCTAAATGGATACCAGATGCAAATGTGCTGGCATTCGAGATCCTCAAGCCATTCTGATTTGATATTAAAATGTTTTCATTTACCCTCACCTCCTTCGAAGGCCTTTCCTTCCCACACCCCTCCTATTGGGTATAAGCCTCTTCCTAACCAGCAGTCTGTTTACTTTTTTTTTTTTAAATCACCACCCTTTTTTGTCTATTCAACCAGCTTCCTGAGGAAAGAACATGAGCCTAGTCACCCCTGTGAGACAGTATCAGGCACCATTGGCTTTGTGTGTGCTTGGTTGAAAGTCACCCAGAGCAGGTGATTAGCCTACCTTGCTGTAGGAAATTCTGTGGAGCCTGGTCAGTCCGGGCTTCAGGCTGCTCTATGAGCTGGCATGGAGTCATATGGAATTGCACTTCTTTCTCTGCCTTTCTAAAGCACCAGCTTCCCCTGAAGGCTGACTCCCTCCGGGCTGCAATGAGCTGTCAGCATTTTTTTTTTTTAAAAATTTATTTATTTATTTATTTATTCATACAGAACTGGGGTACAGGCCAGAGATGTGGAGGGTGAGAGGATTCACCAGGGACAGAGTGGGGAGCAGAACAGGCAGATCAACGAAGTACACTGCTGAGGGGAGCAGTGAGCAGTGGGCGGGTCAGGAGAAGTCTGCCACGCCATGTGGATCTCCTCCGGGGCAGGCAGGGATCGAACTCATGAGGAAGTGGCTTAAGCTTCTTAGTGCAGTGCTTTAACCCGCTGCGCCACCAGGGAGGGCCGCTGTCAGCACTTTTATAGGCCATGTCCTTGCTACACTGATGTGTGCCTGTGAAGGGAAGGGTGGTGTGTGATAGGAGAGCACCAAGCTTCTGACCGATAAAAATCCTGAGAACTGGCCCCAGAGGTGAAAGGGTGCCATTTGAGACTTGACTAAGTTCTGGATTCCTTGAATTGATGTTGATGAAAAAGGGAAGAAGGTCAGTCTGTGGTCTCCTTGAGTGGGAATGGGAGGATGCTTCCTCTGGGCCATCGGAAGCTCAGGAAGGACAGGTGGGTGGGCACGGATGTGGAATCTGACTGCTATTGCAAAGGGTGGGGGAAATGGTGGTTGTGTGGGTAGGCAGCAAAGTCATAGTTCAGACCAGATTTCCTAGGGAACCCTACTTAATTTATGGCTCTTCTGTTCTCTGTAGAGTCACTTAATGAATTTATTGATAGCATGTTATAAAAAGGATTAATGAAAGGGTAAGTGTTCATTGTGAGACTATCAGCTTACTGTTTAGTTGAAATAGAAAACACTCCAATAGGTAAAAAGTTAAATACTCACATTCCAGGCTGTGGCAGGAAAGATGCTACACCTTCTTCTCCCCCGCCCTTTCGGGGATGGTCTCAGTGATGGTTTGCTTGCTTTTAACCGGGAAATCACTGCATGTGGCACTGCGGAGGCAAAGCAGAGAGACCTGGCACTCCAGACTTCAGCCCAGTTCCCAGAAAGGTTAACAGACCTGGGGGCTGGCAGTAGCCTCCCTCACAGAAGCTGCTGGGCACAGGAACAGTAAAGGCCAAGGGGCTTCTCCAGAGCCGGGGGAGCCCAGGCCTAATACGGCAGCGGTTCCACCCCCTGGGTCACTGCTGGCGGGGCTGTTGTTAGAAGCCCCCTGGGTTGACCAGCCCTGTTTACTGGGGGATCACCCTTCCCAGGTCCAACCAGGTTGGGGCTGGCTGCGCACCTTTTCCTCAGGCTATCCGATTGGAACCGTGGACGTCTCTCAGGATTTTAGTGATAAAGTGTTGTCTCCATGTAGTTGCAGTTCTTCATGGTTTGTGTGTGTGTGTGTGTAGTTGATTTCTAGCTTTATAACATTGTGGTCACAGAGAGTACTGATTTCCATCTTTGTAGTTCTACTGACAGTAGACTTGACGGTCCCCACCTGTGACTTGTCCTCAAAAAGGTTCCATGTGTACTTGGGAAAAATGGAGATGGGGCAGTTACTGGGTGGAGTGTTTTGTAGATTCTGTTAAGCCTCTTTGATTAGCTCCTTGTTGCAGGCCAGGTTCCTATTTCAAAGAGTTTCAAAAAAAATACCATCTTGTTCTTCATCCGGCATGCCTGTTGAGAGGCGTGTCTTAACTGGGGGCTGTGCTTGGCCCTAGGGCAGTGGCAGTGACCCCAAGCTGCCTTGATTCCTGCTGTCCCAGTGCCTAATACGAGGCAGACAAAAGCACATACACCGATGCAAAGGTGTTTGCCCCTTGTGATAGTGAAGGGAACAAATGGCAGAGGTAAAGACATGCAGGTGTCTGAGATACACTGAAGGCATTTTATAAATGATCTCATGGATTGACATTTTCCCCTTACATTTCCAACAGATTAAATACAGTTGGTTTTTTTTTTTTTTTGTCTTCTAGGTGCACTTTGCAGACCCATGATGAACCCCGAGAACCCTCCACCGTACCCAGGCCCTGGTCCATCAGCTCCATATGCACCTTATCCTCAACCTATGGGGCCTGGGCCCTACCCTCCAGGTCCAGTGGGAGGGCCCTATCCACCTCCTCAGGGGTACCCCTACCAAGGATACCCACAGTATGGCTGGCAGGGTGGACCCCAGGAGCCTCCTAAAACCACAGGTACTGTGACGGATGAAGGGAATGTGTGTCCATGTGGGTGCAGTCACATGATTTAAAGCCCCTCGCTGCCAGAATATATGTTTGCATGTATTTTCTGGCAGAGCAGAAACTCTGGCTCTTGTGTGTGTTGCTGTGGTGATGTTCCCGAGGCTGGGGACCACTTAGGGTCCTGCTAACCCCTAAGAAGGACTCTTTCTCAGGAGGCCTAAGCCTGCGTGTGCTGGCTCCCTCCGTGTCTCCTGTCCTCTTCGGGGCTGATGACTTCCTGGCCACCATGCTCTCAAGTGCACCTTCTAGCCCCCACAGGGGACAGTGCCACTGTGGCCCTTGCTCAAACAGTTTCGCTCGTTCAGGGGTAGCCTGTGGGGTTATTTTATCTCTCGGCATATTGGCCCACAAGTCATCCTCTTGCCCTTGTTTTGGGCGTTTTCTTTAATATTGTTTCCTGATTCCAGCACAGTTTTCAGCAGGCTCCGAGTCCGCCTTGTGAACTAGAACAGCGCTACTCAGAGTTTACTCTGCCGCCGAGCGCCAGCCTGTTGATGGCTGTTGGGCCGCGATAAGTACGGAAAAGGAGAGTCAACAGTTAGAGACTTTGAGACCAGTTTCACATTGCTGTGACTTTCAAACATGGAGCCTGCATTTTACAAAAAGTCTCCGTCACTGAAGGATTAGAAAACGCCTTGAGCAGCGCTGTGTTAGGTGTCTTCTCTCTTAGTGGCTCTTCTGTGCGCTTTTGGCTTTGTAAAAGCACTACTTCTTGCTCTTTCTGAGTGTTATCTGTGTGCCATGCGGTCTCCTGAGAGCTTTATGTACATTAACATTTAATCCTTGCAACAGTCTGAGACCATTGTCCCATTTTACCCTGAAGTAATTGAGGCCCAGAGTGGAGTAGTGGGGTGCCCACCCAGCGTCACCCTGCCAGAACAAGCAGGTCCTGAACTTAGTGTGCATCGTCACTGTTTAGCTTAAGAATCAGTACCTAGAACTGGCCTCCTCTGAACCAGCCCACTTGCTTCTGAAATTAGGGCTTTGAGAGTCTCCTTTGGTTGAACCCTCTACCTATCAAAAAGAGTAACAAAACTGATGGTTCATTTAATCCCAGGATTTGAGGATTTTTAGAATGGGTGAGTGCCATAGGAGAAAAGCATTTAAGGGAAAATTGTACTCGGTTTGAAAAGATTATACTTCTATAGTGACAAATCAGAGGTCAGAACAAATGGATTTGAGTAGTTTTAAAAGGTTTAGTTTATCATGCAGAAACAAATTTACAATCCAAGATTGTTTTGTTCTATTTTTTTAATTATTTATGTATATGAGAACTGGAGTATGGGCCAGAGGTACAGGGGCTGAAGGGGGGGGCGGTTTAAGGCAGTGAGAGGATTCACCAGAGACAGAGTGGGGAGCAGAACAGGTGAATTGACTGAAATACACTGCTGAGGGGAGCAGCGGGCTGGTCAGGAGAGGCCTGCTGTGCCATATGGGCCAGCTCCCTGGGCTGCAATCAAACTTGTGCTTTAATGTCTCAATAGCTTCATAGTGCTGTACTTTAGCCCCTTGGGCCACCAGGGAGGCCCCTGTTTTGACAGTTTGTATAGCGCCACATGGAAGAGTACAGGAAGTATAACCAGTCAGTCAGTAGTTGGCATTCAGGACTGTGATCTCAGAGGGGCATTTCCTGAAAATAAATCTGTTTTTGGGTTTTCTATATCAAAGCAAGATAATTCTGTTATGAATGAAAGGCAGATCAAAAGACCATATAATATGTGATTCCACTTCTGTAAAATTCAAAAATAAGCAAAACTGATCAATGGTGATGGAGATGGGAATAGAGGTTACTCCTGGATGTGGAGTGAGGGCAAGGGTGGGGTTGGCTGTTCATTGGGAAGGGTACAGGAAACCTGGGGCGTAAGGAATCTCAGTATAAACATTCTTAAGCTAAGACTTACTGCTGGTGCACTTTTATATGTTAATGAAAAAACATCAGCCTGCCATTTGGGTTACCCAGTAAACTCAGCCCAGGGCCAGCTGGGTGTGGGCTATAGTGAGTCGGTTGTTTCAGACCTGTATTGTTTGTACCAACTAGCAGGATTTGGTCCTTTATAGAGCTGGCCTCATGCTTCCTGGCTGGTTGACTTTGTTCCCTCATGCAGAAAATACGGATTTGGTCTTCTTTCTTGTCCTTGGTGTAATTTAAGTATCATGTCAGCCTTTTTGAGGGAAAAAAGTCTGAATTCTTCCCTGGATTAAAGAATCAGTTCAGTGTTGTCAGTAATCATGATTTCACAAATGCAGTTGAAAGCCATCAGCATCCTTCCCTATGGGATTTCTTTCTCTAGCCTGGGCTTATGAATTGTTACCTTTGTATATCCATTCTACATATAAACCTGACCGGTTATGCCACATAGTCAAGTTCTGCTGTCATCTGGGGCCCAGGTTCAATGAATGAGACCCTTTGAACCTCTTGCTGAGAACCCTTTAGGGACCCCTCTCATTCCTTGCTCTCTGTATTACTTCTGGGATCCCCGACCAGGATCATTCTCAGGGCCTGTATTCTCTTCATGTATCTGTGAGCTTGTGAGAGAAATGGGAGGTTTTCCCCTCTAAGTGGATGACAAGATTTATCTACCTTTACAGACACATATATTCACTGAGGTTCAAGTGAGGTCACTAGGCAGCAGTTGTTTCTTTTGCAAAGGAGGGTGGGTTCTGGTTACTCTTCATTCGTGTCTAATTAGGAACAACCTTAAAGTGTGTTGAACCGAAGGTAAATGGCTAATCTTTGGTAGTCTGTAGTTCAAAGGTCATTTTTCAGAAGTCATCATTTAGAAAACCTTTCTCTTTCTCAAGAAACCATGTAATTGGAAGCAGCACGTGGTTTTGGGATGGACGAAGGATGAGTTCCAGATTTCCTAGATGCCTGGTTTTCGCCTCACAGCTTCTGAGCAGCTACCCCGCAACATCAGTTCCAGAGCAGCTGTGTTTGGTTCTCTTGTCTGTGATAGCACCCAAATGTCATGGCTTTTCACAGCAATACTTTGTTATTTCTCATGATTCTGTGAGTTGGCTTCATGTTCTCTCTCCCGAGGTCACATGATTCTGTGAGTTGGCTTCATGTTCTCTCTCCCGAGGTCACTTGTGTGACTGAACTCAGCTGTCACCTTGGCTGAGGCTGCAATGTCCTACATGACAAGGGTCTCAGTCTGCCTCCCCGAGAGAGCACCCCACAGCCTCTCCTTAACCTGAGCTTCCAAGAGGATTGAGGCAGAAGCTGCCAGGCTTTTAGCGACTGGTCCCGGGACAGGCACAGCTCCCTTACCATGTATTATATTCATTCAAGGCAAGCACAAGGCTGCAAGATTCAACAGGATGCCATCTCCCTCCTGCCCCAGTTTTTTTTGTTGTTTACTGGATCAGCTTCTTCGAAATGTAATTCACATACCACCCAATTTGCCCATTTCCAGTGGTCTCTTGTGTGGTCATGGGTAGGTGCGACCATCACCAGGGGTACCCATGGCGCCTGTGCCCTCAGCCTTCACGCCTCATTCCCTAACTCACCTGCTCCACCTGTTCTCTTTCTGTCTCTATTTATTGGCCTCTTCTGGACATGTCATATAAATAGAAGTGGGTCATATCTGTTGTCCTATGAGTGGCTTCTTTCACTTAGCATAATGTTTTCAAGGCTCATCCATGTCAAAGCGGGCTTCAGCACACCACCCTTTGTATTGCCAGAGAGTGTTTCATTGTAGGAATAAACCACAATTTATCCACGGGGCTGATGACCTTTGGGTTTCTGCTGTTATGACTAATGGCTATTAAAAACATTTGTGTAAAGGCCCTCCCTGGTGGTGCAGCGGGTTAAAGCACAGCACTGAGAATCTAAAGCCGCTTCCGCATGAGTTCGATTCCCGCCTGCCCAGGAGGTGACCACATGGCGTGGCAGACCTCTCCTGACCCGCCCGCTGCTCCCCTCAGCAGTGTACTTCGTTGATCTGCCTGTTCTGTTCCCCACTCTGTCTCTGGTGAAGCCTCTCACCGCCCCTGAGCCTCTGGCCTGTACCCCTGTTCTGTATGCACAAATAAATAAATCTTTAAAAAAAAAAAAAACATTTGTGTAAAATACACTCACTGGGGGCAAGAGGATGCAGGGTGAGAGCCACTGACGGCATCTCCCCTCTGCGCCCTGCTCAGAACGCACCCTGCCCCTCCAAGACCGCCATCTGTCTTGTCCGTGACTATATCCTGGCTGTCCTTGAGATCCAGGCTGTCATCACGTTGCCTGTGTGCGGACAAGGCCCCTGACCTGCCACACCACCCCACCCCTCAATCCACCACACCCCTGCATATCTAGAGCTCAAACAGGACATCACCTCCTCCTCTGTACTGTCCTGCGCCTCCAGTAGAATTCACAACTCACTGTATGCCTCCACTGCACCAGATGTTGTGCAGAGCATCCCCGCTTTCCAAACTCAGTTAGTCTTTGTTTTCTCTCCACTTTTCCTCTTTGGCATCTGCAGTCAGTCAGCCTTGCTCTTACTGCCCACATCACGCCTTCCCTATCTGTGTTAGTCTAAGCTCCCAAGACACTAGTGACAAAGTGTCACCCTTAAATATTTTTTCAAAAGATTTAGTTTTATTTATTTATGCATCCAAGAACAGGAGTGGAGGCCAGAGGTGGAGGGCAGAGGATGGTGGTAGTGGGTGAGAGGATTCACCAGAGACAGCATATCCACTGAAATACACTGCTGAGGGGAGCAATGGGTGGGTCAGGAGAGGTCTGCTGTGCCATGTGGGTCGGAGATCACTTGATAATGCTGTAATGTTACCACCTACAGCACCGGTGAGGCCCCCAACCTTAAATATTAACCAACAGAGAATCACCAGAGACTGTGGAGAGACTCCAAAGTGACAGGTGCGACCAACCAGACAGAGAGGGACTCTCAGGGCAGAGGCAGTGCAAGGAACACGCCTCCTAGTCAAGGAGGAAAGCCTCCAACAGA